ACTTATTTGCCTTTTGCAAATGTGCGTTCACCTCTAAAAAGAAATGGCCTTTGATATTACTGAATTTAAACCTGGATTTCAGATGGCTTTTTTTTAATTTTTTATAATGGTGCTATAAAACAGAATACACTTTCAGACACTTCATTTACCTCTTGTTGCTATGGGCTTGTCTTTAATTAGTCAAATGAGTGTGTGAGACACTATTTTCATTGCCAGAGTTTGTAAAAGGTTTATATACTTATAAAAGCTATAAGTGTTTTTCATGCTTCTTTCAATTTCTATAATGCATTTTTAGAAATTACATTTTCTCTTCCATTCAGTGAAGGACACAGCGAAGAGCCTTAGATCCTGACTATTTGGTTATAGTGGCAGAAGTAAGGTTCAAAACTAAAATGGCATACCCTAGTGGTATTCCCTGCTGATTGCCAAACCACCTATCTGCTAGAGGCAGCTCATTTTGTTTGCCTAATGCCATAGAGATAGGACTTAATTCTCTGCTGGGAGCTTTTAGTTTCCCTTTTTTTGCTGAGATTTTGCTTTCTTTTTAAGAATCCTCAGTTAAGTCACTAGCTGCGTGAAAAGCCAGATAATCTAGAGCCTGGTAGTCTCCCCTGTCCAGCCACTAAGCATGTGCAGTTCGGCTGTAATAGCCCTGTGTTCGCAGGGAAGCCTGTGAGTTAATCTCAAGGGGACATACAGTATATGACCAGTCAGACCTACAGCTGACTTGTCACAGTGTAACCTCAGGGTAATATTGCCCTTGCGCTGGCCAGAGGTGACCTGGGCACACTTCACTCACCTCCTGGAATGACCTGGGGTGGCATGACATCCATTTGGTAGGTATCGCATTCCTTCTGTTCTCTATCACTGATGCAAAACTGTCAGACTGCCCAGTGAGTATATTTATTGCTCTGTTACCCCTTTCTGGTTTACACCAAACTGACTGCATTGTGCTCACACTGTTGTCTTGTGGCCACAGTGCCTCCAGTGCCGCTATTTTGTTTATGGGTTCTATCTCTTTGCATGCACAACCACACGGGCCCGATGACTGTGGCCATGGCACCGTCTCCTAGGCCTTGTTGTCATTCCTGGTGCAGCTCATGGGGGATGCTGGGATTCGGGATGGGCCTCTTGTTCCTTGGACTGTATGGCAGGACACGGCTCTCTCACTCCTCGTAGGGTTCCCTTCTGTTGGCAGCAGTTCTTTGTATAACTCTTCTTGCCATTGTAGTACTGTTATGGCTAAGTCATTTAAAAGGGCTAAGCTCTCTGTTCTGTGTAGGAGTTGACCGTAGCGGATATACCCATTTGTGCCAGTTGTGCACATATATATCTATAGTACTAGTTCCCCTTATAAGAACCTAATGAGCCCTGGGGTTAACTGCCCACTTTGATGCCTGCTCAGTGGCTATAAAGGGCTTTGTATCCTGTATGGGGCAAGCTATGTCGCACAAGCCCCTCCGCAAACATCTACCTCCTTCTGTGTCTGTGGTCAAATGCGTGGGTAGAAAGTCAAGTGGTATCCCGCTTTCACCCAAAACTGGAGATGCTGAGTCGGTTCCATCTGGTAGTGAGGATGAGAGAACTGGTATCGGCTTTAATTAAATCTGTCAGGAAAACACTTAAATGTGAGCTGAGGGGAGGGCTTCTGATAATTGCAGTGCTGAGTGGGCACACCGGCCCGTGCGGCATTCGTCTTCCGACCACGCCACCAACCTGCCAAAAAGCGTACGATTTTCGGCACGTTTTCCAGCGTGCTTGGAAGACAAAAGTCGTACGACCTTACAGTAGAAGCGGTCGCACGCTGCCCATACACCTGACGATTATCGTACGACCGCGGGATCACCCCCGATTATCATACAATAATCAGCAGGTGTATGGACACCTTTTAGTGTATGTGTATATTAGGCTCCAATCACACCTACAGTATATTTCAGGTGTGATTTAGAGATCCTGCGTCAGGAACTTGCGTTTTCCTGCAGCAGGAATTCCTAATCTGCCGTTTACAAGCGGCAACTATCATAAGATAAGAATTATCATAAGATTATTTAAGAGGGTGTGTTTAGGGGTGGGGTTAAGGCCGGGGCAGGCTAAGGGTTAGGTGGGGCAACTGGTGGCCAGTGACTCTTAAGGCCTGGCTAGTAGCTCAGGACTTGAAATTTTGAGCCCTGGATTATATAGTGGAAATATAAATATATGAATTTCTACTTGACTGGCAATCCTGCAATGTTTCCGTCTGATTGCTGTGTTACAGTATATTGCGTAAGTCTGATATCTAGTTGGATTCAGTTAAACCGTTTACGTTCAGGGGTGTTCAGGTGTCCCTGTTGGTCTATCCTTTCATTAGATGCAGTTAAAATGTAGCTGCACGCGACTTGGCAGGCTGTTAGCTTTCTAATGTAGATAAACCGGTGCAAACTAATCAGATTTCAGAAAGCTACATTTTAGGGCTGCACAACTAATTGATTATAAGCGATAATGAGAATTGTTGGCAACGATACTTATCGATTAGTTGCTGCTGCTCTGCTCCGCTGTTCTCCCTGCTAGTGCTGGCTGCAGCAGTCTGTGTCCCTTTCAATCCACGCTGCTCTCCCCACCTGTATCGTCAGAGGCAGTGGGGACACGGGCATTGCAGCCGCCACCAGCGGGGAGGAGAGGCCGCTGCCCCTATCTTCGCCACTACTCCCCCCATAACTTTTGCTGCTGCCCCTGTTCCGCCTTTGCCCTGCCTTGTTCCGCCTCTGCCCCACTCCCAGTACCTCCGCTTCCTCCACGGCATCTAGAGGCAAGGAGCAAGGATATTTCACGGAACACCTGAATCTAATGATTTTGGTGGTGTCCCAATACATTTGGTAATATAGTGTATGTAATGTATGTATGTATGTATGTATGTATGTGTGTGTGTGTGTGTGTGTGTGTGTATACCGTTATATTCTGAAGTAAACTTTGTCTGTAACGCTGCATTTGTATAGTTTATTTTAAATAAATGACAGTATTATTATTTATTTATTTTTGATGAAGCAAAGTTAATAATTGGCTAACTAATCGATGAAAATAATCGTTAGCTGCAGCCCTACTACATTTGAGGATGATTTGTGCCACAGTATTAGCATCTATATACAGTAGGTCAGTTAGGGTTTATTGTAAATCTTTTACTGCATATGCTTTTATTCCCATAGTCTGGGTCCAGGTGCACATTAAGCCCATTAATGTGGATGATGTTTGAAGTCACTTTAGATTCCTCAAACTGGTGTCTCCTCTCTTCATATATTATGGAACAATAACTAACATTCACTTTCCGCAAATGTCAAGATTGTAGTTTTCCATCCTAGAGACCTGCTGTAGTCCATGCATTTATGGAGGCCTGACTAAATAACTGTCCACAAGCCAAAATTATTAACTGTGCAATTAACCTACATTAGGAATTCTTCATGGACACCTGCTACATTGCAAATACTAATATGCACAAAAAATAATTTATTAAAAAAAAATTGAATAGCTCTGCCATATGATGGTTCTAAGATTGTGTCACTTAATGGAACGATAATGATGCTTGCAAAAAATGTTGGTAGCCAAAATAGGTAAACATCCAGCAATTGTCTTCTATTCTGGATGCAAAACACATGAATGTAATTTCCTGATTAGACCATGTGGACACAGCCATCGTTGTCATTTGTCCTTCATGTAGAGCAAGAGAAAAGTGGAAGGATAACACATAGAACTACTTTTGTCATTGCAATAACATGATTTTTATGTGCATTGATGGTGTCCTAAAGAAAGATGGGGAGAAAAGCTGTATATGTCATGTGTGTTTCCATTTATGACACATTTCTTAAGAAACCAGGACAGACTTTTTAGGCACTCCAACGGCCATCAAATTATATATAATAAAATGTATTTATTAATTTCATATTAAAATATATAAAAGATTAATAAAATTTCTACCCATACCTATTGCACTGCCAATACATACAATGTTTACTTGTATTGAAAGCTGATCCAAGTTAATGAAGAAAAATGTATGGAGGGATATGAAAAGCTCAACGTGACCGTTTCTTCAGGAGCAGCAGGGCAAAGTCTGTTAATATACTGTAAATAATCATATAAATCAACAGACAGTAATATTACATAATATATTTCTTCAGAAACATTTTTTCTATCTATGACAGACTGGGTGTGTCAAATACGTTCATAGATCATAGAAGTGCCTTCGGGCATATGTCAACAGACTTTTGGCTTGTGTTCATGGTATCTGTTTGCTTCTGAGATAACTCGGAATTCATTGACAGGTGCATTTGACCTGCAGTTGACCGTCTGACCTGCTGTTGAGCGGAATTTGCATTCCCATAGACTTGTAATGGAGTTCAAAACCTGCTTGAAGCACATAAAAGCCCATTGACATGGTCCTTTATGCTGTCCTACTCTTCTTTGTATTTTATGACTGTCTACCATTGATGTAGTTTAAATTTATATAAATTTATATAAATGTATAATTCTATAAATCGATCATTTCTTTAATGTTCACCAGCAGCTGCATTCATTATAAGGAAACTAGTTGAAAGTAAAAAAAAAAAAAGCAAGCTACTCTTTCCTATCAACACAAGCCCTTAGAATTTTAATTCCAGCTCAAGTGACCCTTGAGGTTCCTTGTGAAGACTCATGTCAGTGCAATGTTTGGTAGCCTTTGCTGTAACACACTAATGCTAAAATGGGTCATAAGGTAAGGTTATGGACAGCTGTCAAAATTTAATTATGGTCTTTGTAGTCACACCTTGTGACCTTTGTACATAAAATAAGGAGAACATTTTTCCTTTGTGTTGCTTGCTATATACTGTTTTAGCCCATGCTTATAGATCACTGTTTTAAAATCAGTTTCCCGAAAGGCTGACTATGTTTTCAGGCAGAAGAATAGCATGCTGAACAGGGTTTGACAGCTATGTGATAACCAAATATGGAGCGAAACATTAAGCTTTGTTTAATCATACAGTTTTCCTTTACAGATTATAACAAAGCATGTTTACGAGTTATTGGAAAATGACTGTAATTTGCAAAAAGTATATTTACCGGTAAGTAATTCTTAAAATCCTTACCTTTTGAAAGTAAAAGTGTGTTTTAAATCACTATATAACATTGGTTTAGTAAGTGGTAAATTGTTGTTTCTATACTGTTTTCTGTAGCCTTTTTTTAATTTTTTTTTTAAATATATCTTTTTTTAAATCTTATAGGTTGACCATTGTTATTTTCCTTTTTGCAAGGGGAGAGTTTTTGTAGTTCTGACTTGGTGAATTAGGAAAACGTGCTCGCATCACAAATCTTTTTGAAATATCCTTTTTGGGGGGGGGGCTATTAATTTTTCATTCATTTTATGAACAGGCTTAATAATAATCTCTGAAACATAAGACAACAAGTTGATAGGGAAATACAAATTGGTTTATAAGTTTTGGGGGCCATTGGCTTATATTTTCCAGATGTACAGATCACTGAAACTAAATGCAGGACTTTGTAATGAGCTGCACACAGGCGCATAATGCAACTGATCCTATGTAAACCAAGAATACTTCTTAATACTTGCTCTGTGTTTTTGTAAAGCACTGTAAAGATTTCAGACAAATCTAAAATGCTATATAAATTTAAATTCTTCCTGTTTGAGGTTCTGAACATTTCAAACTGCCCTTTGTAACACTAAGCTTATCAAATAACCCTGTTGGACATCTCTCTAGCATTTTCTTTTTAGCTTCTTTTTATGTTTCCAGTATTCTCCAACCCTTAAGTTTTTTTTATTTTCTTTTTTCTTTTTTCTTCCCTTTCCTCCTTCCCCCACATCATTCAAAGATGGGTACTTGATTTATAACCCATAATACTCATAATAGGAGAAGATGAAAGCAAAGACAAATCTAATGCCTTTTCAACAGCCAAGTAATTATTGAATTGATTGGCTCAGATCTATGTACATTTTAATAATGTGATACATTGTATGTGGGACTGTTTTTCTTATTATTGTTTGATTGTGTATATGACATAAAGTCTGACTTAAGATCTTGTTGAGCATTTAAGGAACGAAAGTAATAAAATGCCTTGGGGCTGAATCTATAGTACCAAGGAAACATTATACGCCATCTTGAAAAACATTTAAAGATGACCTACACATGGTGCAAGTGTAAGAGCTATTATTATTTTTTAATATTCAAATTTTATTAAACAATTAAAGCAATACAACAAATCAAAGAAACAACAAGAACACTCTGTGGCATGAAATCCAGACATGTAATCCCAGACATAACTAGGATTATTGAAAAGAAAACACATCCTTAGCAACAACTCCATAAGCGAGTATGGTATTGAAGGTCAGACTAAAATAGCTAATTAACTCCCCCAATAGTGGTCCCAGCACTATCTCATAGCAGGGTCAGCTCCAGAGGACTAGCTATGACTAAGGCAGAAACGCGTCAGCGGTTGTGCTTTTTACAGTTGCATGTGGAATAAAGTTTCAATTTCTTTGGAAGATTATCGTCTGCTGGTTCCACAGTTTTTCAGCTCAAGAGGAGTCTTGGTGCACCACCGACTCCGTGCCACAACAACAAACCACCCTCCCGGAAACTGTAGTGATTTTAGTGTGCTTTTATCAATTTAAGGGTGTGTTTTTTCGGTTTAATATTGATTTGATAAACACTTGCAAAATTACCCTTGGACCTACAAAATAAGTAGCACTAGCTTTTTATTCTACCGGGCCTGTGCTTTCAGAAAATATATTGTTTTTTTTTGGGGGGGGGGATCTTTTGCAAACTCTAAGTGCTGCAGTTGGAAAAAAAAAAGTGAAAAATGGTGTGGCCCGCTAAGGTTAAAAGCGCTCCGCAGGGCTTTGCAGCAAAAGGGTTAAAGGTCCAGCATGCTTAACTAGTAATCTGATCTTACATTTAGGCTATGCTGCATCCCTGCTCTTCTATATATTCATAACAGATGGTTTTCCTTTTGAAACCGAACACCATCAAATTTTTTTTTTTGTTTTGTTCTTTATTGAGGGAAGCTTAGAACCCCTGTCAGGGTTAGATTTTCTGTGTGTCCCCAATGAGGAATGTTCTAATTTTTCCTGTATTGTCTTAAGGTGCCCATACACCTTACAATTATCTGCAGATTTTCTGTTTTTCAGTTAAGTGTAGATGGAGGAATCTGTTGCACCTTTTCCATCTGACCACAGAAAATCTGCAGATAATTGTAAGGTGTATGGCCAGATTTACACATCACCTGAACCGAAAGTTAGGGGAAATGTATCTCGTTTGCTGCAGGTCTTCACAGCAAAAGCGTACTAATAATGTTTGCCATGAAGGGGTTTAATCATTTTGAGACCGCAGAAGTCATTAAAAGTTGCATTTTCAGTTGAATTTGGGAAAACCTCTTGAAACATTCATTGTGTTGACCGATGTTAAGTTGTTTTTTGTTTGATTTGTTCATTGCAAACAGCTGAAAGTCTGTACATTTTGCCAATAAACCTTCTTTCCAATGGAGGTTGAATCATTTTAGCTACAACTGTGTGTGTGTTAACTGCATTATTATTACATGCATTTTTTTTATTTTTAGCAAACTATTTCCTTGCACTGCATGCTTCTTATACTGTTAAAAAAATATTTTCTGTTTATCAATAATTATAAAGTGTTCTTCCTTTTTTTTGTTTGGATCAATGCATAAATCCTGCCCAAATCTTCACTTGCCATGTTAAAACAACATTTATGGACTGACCTCTTTCTGTTGAAAAATGCCCTTGGAGGTGTTAAGTTATCTATATCTATTTTTAAAGAGCAGATTAAGGTTCATGGGGTTTGTTAACCCACATTACATGGTGCAGCTTTAATAGATACAAATTGCTTTATGTAGTCTTGCTGCTCTTAGGACTAAATGTATTATTGGTTGCTTTGTCGATAAAGCAAGGTTGTGCTCAGCCCTGACCTTTATGGACGTTCCTCAATGAAAGCTCTGTTTAATGAATTACCACAGTAAAAAGACAAATTGCTGCTGTGTGAAGTTTTAATTAGGACTTTTAAATGGAGAAATTTAAAATGTCAGAGGAAATAATTTGTTGTGTAAAGAATAGAACAGTGTTAAGAAGCAAGGCGGTAATCTGCACTGCACAGATGAAATGAAGGACAAATCTGATAGTGTTGTGGGGTGCCTGGTAATGAACTGGGAAAGAAATATAGAACATAGCTTGTAAGATTAGAGCCACAGACTATAAATAGGGTAAAGGGACTAATTTAAGTAGGCAGCATATAAAAAAACCAAAAACAAACTGGAAGCATATAAAAAAGGGGAAGATTTTTCTGTAATATTGTTGGCTAATAAAAAGATGTGTTAGGACTAGGTACGAGGGAGCACCATCAGTAGAAATTACCTGCCTGCTTTTTATTATATATTCTGTTATTCCTCTTAAACTAAAGGGGAATGGTTATGTAGCTAAATATCCAGTTGAAATACATTACATATGAACTGTTTTGTGGGAATCCTGCTGGAGCTGCCAGTGCTCCAGTAGCGCAAACCCAGAGGATGGTTTGGAAGAATGTGCAAGTATTTTATGCATTCTTGCACTTTATGACAACAGTTGCCAAACCTAACCTACGCTACAATTCCACTTTAAAGGTATGTTGTTGCTAAACTGAAAAAACTATGGGGTGAGCAGGGGTGTGGAAATTTAAAAAAAACTACTTGTCCAAGGGCTAAAGTGGGGGCCAAATCTACTTGTCCTTCACGACAATCTACTTGTCCCAATACAAAAAATAGTTTTAATCAAAACTAAGGATGCACCAATACTGGTTTTTCGGTATCGAGTACCAGTACCGATTTTTCTGCTTTCGGATCTCGCTGACACTGAATACTAATACCGGTGCTTCCACTGGCATGGAGCAGGCTTCCCTGGTAATCAGGAAACCGGGCAGCAGGTAATGACATCCCGCCCAGGTTCCTGATTGCTGCGTAAGCCGGCTCCATGTTGTTTGGCCTGCTTGATTGGCCGGGAAACCTGCTTCCCGGTCAATCAGGAAGCCGGGTGGCGAGTAATGACCTGATTGACCGGGAAACTGGCTCGATGCTGATTGGCCAGGAAGCCGGCTTTCCAGCCAATCAGCAAGGAGCCGGCTTCCCGGGCCAATCAGAAAACCAGGAGGCGGGTCATTACTTGCCGCACGGCTTCTTGATTGCACGGGAAGCTGGCTCCATGTTCCCCTACGGCACTGCCAGTCAGAGGAAATTTTCATCTGGCCGTAAGTTCAAATATCGGGGAAGGTATCGGAGCATTTGGGTGAGTACGAGTACTTGCCCAAATACTCGGTATCGGCACGGATACTAGTATCGGTGCACCCCTAATCAAAACATATTTTACTGTGCTAAATAGCGCTTCTCACTGGTCAGCGCAGTCATCTGACCACGTTGACCAATGAGTGCTTGCAATTTGCGAGCGAAATTCAAAATGCATAGGGGAGGACTGCGCTGGACAGCAGTACGGGGGACAGATAGTACACCCATACTGGCGGAGGGGAGGGATTGTTCGCCGAAAGGTAAGTATAGCCAGGGGGGTGGCGGTTTGGGAGAGACAGGGCCAGATTTCATCGGGTAATTTTTATTTTTCCATATTACCTGGGAAAATGAACTTACCCTTTAATGCACATTATGTGTGTGTAAGAGAATTCTGGCTACCACCATGGAATGGCAGCTGCAATCTCAAAGCACATGCAGAATGTCCTACGCATGCGTTTATTTGCATGCAGATGGCGGGGGCAGCAGGGTTTCATTTTTATTTATTTTTTACTTTTTCATTTTGTAAATCTTTTTTATATATTTGATTTTTTTTACTTTTTACATTTTCTTTAACTTTTTATTTTATTTACTTTTTCCCCTTAATGTTCTTCCTATTACATAGGAGATTAAAATCCCTTATGTGATAGTTTGGAGGTGACAGGTTCTCTTTATGGAACCTGTCCTCCAACACAGAACAGCTGTTCTGTGTAGTTCCTAACAGCCGAGACAGGTGACGCTGTGATTACAGCGCCACGGTCTCAGAGAACACACAGAGAGCCCGTAGAGCAGACGTTTTTCGTCTGCTCTATGGGCTCTAAGGCTGAGCCGTTGTGCCTTAGTTTTCGGGGTCCCCCGGGAGAGCGGGCGACCCCGAAAACTGCGGCGGGGGTGCCGGCAGAAACGATCGCGGCGGCTCCACAATGTACATTCAGCTCTGCTTGTCCGGAGCCGGGCTGAATGTACTTTAAAACTACTCGCCCGGCACCCGAAACTGCATGTCCCGGGCGTCGGGCGATAGGAATTCCACACCCCTGGTGAGTGAATTACACTCATCCCGATAGTTAGAACCGACGTGTGACATTGAAACTGTCACACATCGGCTCTATTGAACGGGAAGTGAGTGAAAACATACTGCCACTCGCTCACTTCCCGATCATCTTCCTGCAGAGTGTGGTAACCGTCAGTCAACGCTCCCCACAGGGATTCCCCCCCTCCCCTCTCCGATCCTCCAGCGCTGACTGGAGGGACAGAGGGGAGAGGGGGCAGGCATAGCTGGCTCTGCCTCTAGCTGAGCAGAGCCCACTGTCAATCAGCCAGGAGGGTGGATCTCTACAGTATTGGGATCCATCCCGTCTGCGGCGTTCTCAGTATATAGTGGACAATAGGAGGGAGAACACTAGTATATGTTGTGACCCTAAAGAGAACTATGGGGAAAAAAGGTTAACCCATATTATTATTTTTTATTATTATTATTATACCCATTTTTTTTCTCCCGCCATTTTCCTGTAATGCACCAGTCCACCAAACTCTGTTTTGTTGGTAACTTTGTTGGCCTTTTTAATGCTGGGAGACCCTTCTTTCGACCCCGCCCCTTATATTATCTGATGTGTGAATTAAAAAAACAGTACAAAGATGTTTCTCAAGGCCAACTATTGGATCCAGACCTGTGATGGATGCCCGGTATTGTGATTGGTAATGCAGGAAGCAAGACTTGCTAAAACCCTAAAAATGTCATCTGAAAAAAAAAAAAAGAACTCGTACCCTCTGCTGCCAGCCCATACCATTATCTTCACAAATATTCTGGGAGCCATATTTTCACTTTTGCTGAAAAGTTTGGAAGCTGACTTGCCCCTTCCACTCCTCCCCTTTGGGATATTTGTGGTATCCCTTCATGTTGAAGTGATCCCTTTTTCAACAATAAATATGGTTTATTTATTGGCATGCCCAAGGTTTCAGGTCTCCTGAAAATAATGGAAGGTATGTGCAGGCACCTGGAGGTGCCCACATTTTATTATACCAGTTATAACGGAAAGATCCAGTTCATAGAGTTGTACTAGTGAGTGAACATATGCAATATAAAAAAAAAAGATTAAAAACTATTTGGACTATTTAGATATGATCTTGCAATAAGTTGAAGCCAACCAGATTTTGATGTATGTAGGATCTTGAAAGTTACTTGGCAAGTTCTTATATGTGCATGCTCTCCCAAATTCATTGTATATTCTTATTTGTTCTTTTTCAGATAGATGCTACTGAAAGTGAACCAAAAAGTTTTATTTTCATGAGCAAGGATTCTATGACAAATCCAGACAAAATGTTGGTTTTGATCCATGGCAGTGGAGTGGTAAGGGCTGGACAGTGGGCACGAAGACTCATAATAAATGAGGACATAAACAGTGGTACACAAATCCCTTACATCAAAAGAGCAATTAAAGTAAGTGGCTTACAGCAATATTCAGTATACACCCAGGACATTGCTATCTTAGCCGTGATATTTCTTTGTTGTTACAGAGCTAACATAAATTAATATGGCTGCTGATGAATTTGTTGCTAGGTAGAATGTTTTTTTCTTTTATTTCAACTCCTTCCGTTTATGAAATGGGAGAGCAGAGGGTCTTTTTTTGTTTTTTGTCCTAAATAAATGTAACTATAGTAGAATCAGAAATGATAGAGATACATTAGCACAGTGTAAAAGCGGCAGACCTGTGCAGTTTTGGCTGTGTAAACAAGTGTTCAAATGTTTTTTATTTATGAATACAGTGGGGAAGGTTTAGTACTCCTGTCAGATTTTTCTGTCATAGAGGCTCTATTGAAGAGATTGATTCACTTCCTGCCTTGGGGACAATCTTTTTACCAGACAGGAAGAAAGGTGAAATCTCTCCAACAGCAACAAAGACAGACGTTTTTTTTTTTGTTTAAGTTAAGTAATGGATTGTTTGTTTCTCTGTTTTATAGATTTATCCTCAGTTCTTGTCTGCTAAATGTTGTCCGCAGAAACAAAAGTGTGTGTGATAGCAGGAAGGTTTGACAGAAGTTCTAACTTTTCCACATTCTATCCAGACCTAAAAAATGTCCCGTGTGTATATACTTTTAAAGGACTTCTGGTTAATAAAAAAAAAATTTTTTTTTTCCATGAACAGGGCATTTCTGAAGAGGGTGTGCCCCATTCCTAAAGACTGTGTTTTGGGGGCTGGTCCCTCAGGGGGTCTTTATTTACATGCTAAGGACTGGCAACTGAGATATCAACATTCACACAGGGGATAGGCCACTGAAGGCTCAATGCACACACACTGAGGGCTGGCAACTGAGGGGTCAATACATGTACACACTGGGAACAGGCTGCTTAGGAGTAAGTGGGGAATGATCACTGAAGTGTTATTACACATACTCTTGGGGCTGATCACAAAAAAATGTATGCAGATACATTGGAGACTCGTTACTGAAGGGTAAATGCACATGCGTTGGTGGTATGTAGTGATCTCTGTGGCATGCAAATCGGAAAGTGAGTTGTGTGTGCTCGGGACAGCATACAGCAGAAAGACCAATGTGTGTTGGAAGCGAGATCTTACAGAAAGAACATGCTTCAGCTAAATTTGGCGCTTGAAGCAGAATCCTCCAGCGGGAAAGCAAAACAAAATTGCTGCTTAGGCTTTTATACTGTACACAATTTAACTGTTACTGTGCATTGTGACAGGGAATTAATTCTTGCCAACTTGTAAAGCTGGAATGAGAGATCAAATTTTAATTTTCTGCCTCTCTAAGCTTGTGTCTGCTGAAACACACAGAAGATATTTCAATTTAGAAGACTGAAACGGTAAATATAGAAAATAAATATTTTTCAGATACACTATAAAGGTTTATTTGCCCACTGTTATTATGAGCATTTTTAATGGTTTTAGGTGTATATACTGAGCATATAGGCTTGCCCTGCTACATACACATGAAGTATCTTATGTCACTTCATTTATATACCATTCTAGGACTCTTTTTTTAGGCAGCCAATGAAGAGGTACTCTTAAATACAAATGAAGTGTCACTTGACATTTAATAAATGGCCTGTTTGTGCTTAGTCTTGCCTCCTTGCCAAAAGTGTAACACAACTGGTGCATCCTATCGCACATTGAGCAGAAGGGTTTGAGCTTTCATTGTTCCCCGCAGAAGGGAGGAAAATTGGCGCATACATGATTCAGATTAACAAGCAATTTAACTGAAATGTGTGCATTAAATAAGTCAGTAACCCCTAACGCGTGGGAGTGCAGATTTCTATTGTATAGGCTATATGTAAAAAAAAAAAATCAGGCATTGGCAAAATCAAGGAAAGGTATATATTCTGCAGTATAAAATTGTTTATGCTGTGGAAGAATTATATAATGGAAAGGACCAAATGGAATCCATGTATGTGGCTTAACATTTTTAAATCTTACTTTGCATTGTGAACATTTCTGTTAATTACTTATGCGGAATTCTAAGCTTTTTATACAATAGGGCCTGTGGAAGGATGCCTTAGTAATATTAGGGGAAAAATCAGAGGTTAAAAGCTTATTTTTACAAAACTGACAGGTTTTATAAGCCAGCACCAGCCCCCATCCCAGAGAGGGAAAACAATAAGTCTGACAGCTCCAGTGTTCAGCAAGAGGCTGTTAACGACAGTTTATTCCTTTATGATTTCAACTCTTGACAGTAGACATGCCAAGTTCTTGCATTGTGGCAGATGTGTCATTACCTTGTGGCCCTGTCATGACTGATCAGACAGAGAAAGCCCACTTTTCAGATTTGAAAATCCAATTACTCATTTGAAGTGTAAGCTCCTCTCCTTATGCTGGATGAAGGGAGGAAGAACATTTTTCTATGATCACTCTTTTGGATTTTCAGTTCCTCTCTCTTCTTTGCTATCTGGTTTTAAGAGTACACAGGGGAATATTTGGGAATATATTATTGCTTCGGAACTTGGAAAAACAAAGTGCAATGTAGTTGAAGAGGTCGTAGAGCTCTACAGTGAGAGCACATAGCAATCTTTAAATAAGTCTTGCACGCCTTATCTAACATTCATGCTGGTCTATCTTGTAATATCTACTTCAAATATATGTGTTAAAAATGAAATAAGGATGAATAATTTAATCTATCTGGACCGCAAAAAATACGTTTCTGCCAGACTAAAATGGACGTAACATTTCTCTATTACACGCATCTGATGTTCCATTCACTATGCTGGATGCCTTGCTCCGGCTCCAGGGAGCTCCTGGAGAAAGAGGCGTGGGTTTGTGAAACTATGTCAAAAGCCTTGGGGTTTCTATCTGACCAGAATATCAATAGATGTTAAGATACGTTAAAATTAATAAAGTAGAAAAGTTATCCGTTATCAGAGAGAAGTATTTACTTGAAAAGAAGAAATATGTTATACAGTTTTAAGAATCTCAAAAAAATTCCAATATACTACAAACACACAGAGAAAAAGTATCATTATAACTATTTATCATTGCAAAGCAGTAACACTAATCATTTACCGTACCTGTTTTAAGGAAGTCATTGGAGCTTACAGCATAAAGATAGTGTGTGCTGGGCTGTTTCCCTTTTTTGTTGCCAGTTTTTAATTGAGAATTGTGCCAAGCTTTCCCCACTCTGGGCTCAGTGTGGGTTTCAGTGGGAATAATTATTTACAGGTCCACACATGTTTATGGCATGTTGACCAGAAAAGGTTCTTTGAAGCTTCATCTACAGTTTGCCTAACAAGGCTGATAGTTCTGGTCAACTATTTCGCCAGACCTAACCACGCACATCTTATTATATGTGATAAAGGAAAGGGTATTGTATGAGACTGGTAGCATAATACTGTCTCAAAGTCATTTGACATTTTTTCTAGCTTTGGGTAAGTTTTTTTTATTTTTTAATGCTATCTGGGGAGCCATTAGAAACATTTACCCTCACTTCTGGGCTGGTAACAATATTTTACCTGAGAGGAAGTGAGGATAAATCTGTAACAGGGTAACAGTCATTCTTACCAGTTTCACTTCTAGCTTTGATATGAAGGGCTGACCCTGCCTACTCACTCTTCTGCTTAGCTTGCAGCTTACCTGCCACACAACATTCACACCCTCCATTATCCTGATCTCCCTCAGCCCTTAACAAGGTATTAGGTTTGTATCTGCATCTGGACACTTATAGGAACCCAGTGCTCAATATCTACGGTTTTTGTGCTGGTACCTTCAAATTGTGCCATGATACTACTTTTTCAGTTTGCATTTACCCTAAACAAACCATTGTAGTCAATTAACAGAACATTCTTTTTATATAATTGGTAATTTTCTGTTTTAGATACAGTCAACGTTTTAGCTGTTGTGTACTGTTAGTATTCCTTGTAAGCTCTTAACTTTTCAGTTTTTTGTTTTTTTTTGTAGAGTGCATGGATCCCTCTCTAAACAGATTACATGGTCATTTATTTGCCTACTGTCACCTGGAAATACTTTGAGTGAATAATTTTAAAAAATGAGTGCATTTTCAGCACACTTTTTAAATTATTTTTGTCCCTGCATCATGCTCAGATGTCAGTTCCAATGGTTACCAATTTTGCTGATAAACAGGAGTTTCTGACATGGAGACCTCCAGCCTGGCAGTCTGTGTAATTTCTTTCCTGCAACAGCTGCTCCCCAGCACCAGTAGACGGAGATGAAGGAAAAACAAAAGAGGAACTATGTATTGGGGTAAATGAGCACTCTGTCTCTTGACCTCCCCTCAGGTCCTTCTAGTGGTAGATAAGGGCAACTACTGCAGGATAAAAGGATGTAAGCCATGTTTAGATGCAAAATGGGAACCATTTGCAATGGCTGCAGAAACATATGCTTAAAGTATAAGTACTACAGGTGTACTTCTGTTTAGTTAGCATGACACTACTATATAAAATATATGGTACCTGCATTTCTTCAGATTTTTTTCCCCCTTAAACAGAAAGGTAAAATTGTCTGGTCACAGTTTATTTTTGTAGCAAAGAAAATTCAAAAAGTCCTTCTGATGATAACTTTTGTTCCTTCTTGTTCCTCTACAATGTATTTCAAGCAGCTTAATTTGCATGTGTAAAGTGGAAATGACAAGAAAATGTTAAATACATTCTAAAGGAACACATGCTTTTTATTATGAGTTATTTAACTTTTTTTTTTTTGCAGCAATACGTATTGTATTTTGATCATTGAGCTGAGAAAAAATCAGGCATTTCTCTTCTTGAAATAGGAATTGTCTTAGAACAAAAAAAAACTAAATTAACAAATTTCAACATAAAAAATTCCCTATTAAAGTATGTAAGGTCATTAGCAGCTGTAGGCATTTAATTTCCCATTGGGACATACTTGTTTAGTTGCTTTCACTTACTGCCTGTGGCACTGAATGGTGAAATTCAGACATGTTTTTCCCCTTCGAGGAATCTCTAGGGCAGTGGATAGGTTT